TTGTGCTTGCAGTATGAGGAGTGATTTGAGGAAGAGGAAATAGTGATGCTTCTTCACTATGATTCTCTCTTGTTCTCTGGATTTTGTTGGTGAGTTGTGCTAATATCTTTCTGGGKTTTTAGCATTAATACAAACAAGATTATTGAAATCTTTGTCCATGTTTAAATACAGTGGAAAAAAAATGTTCTAATTCTAATAAATTCAGGATGACGTTACTGGTATTGTTGTTACACACAAGGATCTGAGACTGAGCTCCTCAGATGGGGGATTTAAAGCRTTCTTGGGAGCATCTGATCTGTACAAAACATGTTTTCTATGACTTCAACAAGGTTTTGAACTGAGAAAAATTATTACCTTTCATATTAAAGGCCACYGAAAGCCACATAAATTTGGATCAGAGACATTTAATAGTAAAAATTAAATAGATCRTGAAGGAAGAAAAAACTTTCAAGGTAAATCCTGAAATACTCTTCTGTCATTCCACTTTAATGGTTGGCTTTCTAAGTCATGACATCCAGAACTGCTTGACTACGTGATCCAGTCCCTCAGCTGTTACATCAGTCTGGGGATGGCTGTTATTTGTCAAGAGCCATTGAAAGCACTGGAGACTTTGAAGCCAGCCAGGTTGACAACTTAAGCATGTCTGTAAATCTGTCTTCTCATGGCTAAAAAGATACCTGCATCCAATATTTCTTGTCTTTCTTTCGTAGGCAATCACATAGTTTTCCCGAAAATGCAGAACTGTTTGTGAATAGCTTGCAACTATTATCTCAGAGTTCTCTAAATATTGCATGCTTTCCTCAAGTACATTGCTAAAGTTAAATGCTTTTAATGAAAGTTTTAAAGAGTACTTAATGAATGGGGCTCATAACACTCTTGTAAATTTTTAACTTTATTCAATATATATGGAATACCTCTAAAATTTGGGAGTTTTATCAACCTTACGCATTTAAGCACTCAGTTGCATTTCATCTTCACCAGACAGGATTTCCTTCAAATAAGAAGTATACTACTACTTTAATTGGTTAATAAAATACCTTAATGGCAATTGTTTGAGTATATATAAATTATGTTTCTGTTAAAAGAAGATACTTCACTAGATACTTTTATTCTTTCAARTATGTCTGACAATTATGTCAATATGTTTGATGTATTTGACAAACATGTCAAAAATATGTATATATTTTATAACTTTTTGTTTTATTTTTGCTTTTATTTTTGCCATTAAARGCAAATAAAAACAATCTTAAAGACATACCTACAATGAAATTCTGATTTGCCAAGAGACTTTATAATCATGGCACCATTAGAAAATGCTTCTTGCTTTTGTAATAAGATTTYTGATATCTTGATAATGAAAATGACTTTTCTGTTATTCCCTATTAATAGTGACCTAAATTCCTCATTCCATATGTGCACATTCAAATATAAGTTATATTCTTGCTTGGATGATACATTTAAGTGCTTTACAGTTCCATATATAGAGGTTTTATAATCTATATGTATTTTTTGAAAAGCATGACTGATAATAAAGAAGAAAATCTGTTTATTTTCTTACTTGGGTGTATGAAAGCCTGTGAAAGGAGGAGGCTGTTATGCTTTCTCTGATGTGCTTAGGAGCCTTTTGGTTCCTGTTCCTGTAGAGAGATGGTGAGTAACACAAGAACACATGCTCCAGAAACCTGTAGCATAAATGTAAGTAGAGGTGTTCCTGATAGGAGCAAAGGTTCACATGCAATAGAAAGAAAACCTAGTGATATGAAAAGGGTCCAAAGGAGACTCTGTAGAATATAACCAYGTGTCCTTACCACAGGAGTCCCATTTTCATCTTCAGCTTCTTCATTTCTAGGATCAGCTCTGATGTGCTGCTATTTGCATCAGTAGCCTGTTAAATAAAAGCTCTCACCTGGGCTCTTGAGTTGGCAGCTACTCACCATAATTTGAGCATTGCACACCTAAGTCATTAGTTAAATCTTTCTTATTTACTTCTTTGTCATATATCTCATTTATATCATATAATCATATTCATAATTTGTAAATAATTTATATCACATATGTCACATTTTTTATGTATCCCATTTACATTCATTTCTGTTGGGTCTTGGAGTGGGGCTTTGTGATGAGTATAGATCRTAGGCATGATTTAGTCTAAATTGAACAGAAAACACATCAGAGGTGTTTATATTTGATGAGCCTAAAGATTATGCGTTTCTCCTTGCTGGACTTGCTACTGCTGTACTTTGTCTGTCTCATGCTTGGAAAGTGAGTTRTGGGTTTTCCCCTTAGAAAGCTACATTTAGAGCTGTCCTTTGACCCCTTCTCAGGACTCTCGGAGGACTTGTAATGGTTGTTCTGGGATCTAAGTTAATCCGCTCGGAACTGTGGCTAACTCAAAGAGTGAAGCCAGTGAAACTTAAATGGAATGTCCTTTTACTGCTACTCTTTCAAATAAAATACAGTGTATAGAGGGCTAATTGGAAATATACATGTGAAGTAGCTATGCCTGCTGTTACAGGTCTCCCCATAAAATTGTGCAGGAAGATGTTGTGCTTTTAAAAATACTGAATTTGTGAAAGAAATAAATATTACTTTATTCATACTGCCAGCATAAAATTAAACTCTTCTATAAGTGCTCACCAAAATAAATAAATAAATAAATAAARGTGTCATTTTCTTCCAGAGMTGTATCTCTATTTTCAGGAGAGCTATGCCAATTTAACCAGCAAATAGTTCATCTCAGATCTGAAAGAGTGGAGASGCTTGCCCTTCTGTGACAGAAAAGGGAGCTTTAACGAGATGGCTTAAATTTTTAGACTTTCMAAGTGGAACGCAAGTTGTTAAATACTCTGGAGTGGGGAGTGTCCAATTTTCTTGCAAAGTAGTCTATCAGTCAGCAGCAGCGATAAGAGATGTTTTTCTTTAGTAGTAACTGCCAGATGGAAATCTCTCCAATAGGCCCCTAATTTYGTTTTGTTAGTGAACAACAACAAGGAACAGTTTTACTAGACTGATGTCGTCTTTCTTTCCCTGAATCCCAATACTGAGTGTAATTAAGAATCTCTGGGCTCCGGTAACTGGTATAAATTTCTGTCTTTGGCATTGCTCTGCCTAGACTAATGAAGGCATCTTAAGTAAAATATTATCTTTTTCGGCTGCTGGAGAGGTTTTCCAGACCTTAGCTTCATGTCAGGCATATATCAACCCTCAGAGCACTTTGTATCCTTAGAGTATCCTGAGGAAAGAGAAATTCATCAAGAATAATAGTATTAATGAATGTCTAGAGGGCAACCATTCAATAAAAATGAAGAAACTGCAGGTACACAATCAGAGGTTTTAATTGATCAGTATTTCCTCGYAAAAGCAAAACCCCAAGAAATCGCTCATTGTTATGTTTGCAACATAGGAAGGTTTGGAAAATAATTTGAGTCCAAGCTTTTATTACTGACATTTGTTACTAACAAATGTTTTGTTTCCAGTTTTAGGTGTTTATRTTCAGACTTTGTGTGACAGTTCACATACTTGAAAGAAAAGGAAATGAAGYTTTTCGTGCTAAAGAAAATGATTTCTTATCTCCTTAGGGAAATTATACATTTTTTATATATATATTGCTCTGGAAATACCAGCTAAGATTTCTTTAAGAATAAACTGCACAGGGTAAGATGTTTCCTGTGCTTACACTTGTTTGCGTTTTCTGTTTCTGTATTAAGTGTGATATAACGTTGAATGTGAGGCTATGATCTGTAGATAATCTGGACCATATTTTAAAGGTAGCTTTCACCTAAGATTCTGCCTTCCATCAGTCTCAAAAAAATCTTGTGCTCAGTTGTATGCTTGTGTTTTGCTTTTGCTTAAATCTGTGATTCAGAATTAAGTACCTACTATACTGGCAGCTGGACAGGAAAGTTGGCATTCAAGTTGGCATTGGGAAGTCTTCTGTTACAGTCATTGCTATTTTGATTAATCTATTTATATATTGAGAAAATAAGTTGGCTAGTACTTTGAATTATTTCTATTTGTAGTATGTGGTAGAAAGAAATATAAAAGTATAGTCTGATGAGATCTACAATAATATTATAGTAATGGTAACATGGTTTTTATTCTAATTTCTGTAAGATAGATGTATCCAATTACTTAATTCAGAGTAGTTTGTTGAAAGTATTTTACTATTTTTCTGAGAATACTTAGACTTACTAAAAATCAGGCTCCTCTCAAAAAACCTCCGAACCAAATGTTTTCTTTTTTCCTTTTTGATTTGGCTGTTTGACTTAATTGTCATAATCATTTAAAAAAATACATATTTGAAATGTACTCTAACAGTCAGAAATTCTGTGTTGCTGGATCTATAAATGTTTGATAGAAAATAATTTTAAAGCTTAAAAACTAATTAGACCTGAAAACACCATTTTTATCAATAGAAATATGGAAAGAACAAAAAGCATAACAAAGGGGAATATATAGAGAGAAATAAAGCAAAGGCCAAGACCCATGASTCAAGAAAATCTGGGGATATTGGGTTACACAGAGGTCTCGTTCTCTGTATTTCATATGACTTCTCAGTTCTTTGACTGGCCAAGTGTTTTATAGGGTAACACTGTCACTCCTTCCTCAGGATGCTCATTAAGTAACATTAAGGAGTCTTGAGAAGTAGGTATCATCAGCATGATTAAAAACATTAYTTAAAGTAAATGTAACTTGTCAAAAACTGATGCTTTGAGGCTGTGCCAACTAGATAGGGTCTATCTTGAGGTAACCACTATTTCAGAGGGAAAGTTGGAGTTTATATCAAATCTTAGACTTCAGGTAATTCCAAGCAAACAGTGCAGTCAGAGAAGGGATGAGGCTTTGGTTAAACCCATCAAATATACTGAACTTGATTCCCAACTTTGTCTCCTGAGTTCCTAAGTGGTGTGATCCAACCAGCTTGGAGGTTCACAATTTTGCAAATGATCCTGCATTGAATGTTACTGATAATTAGGCATTATACTGTAACATGTATAATGGAGAACAATGAAGGCACCTTAAATATGACATTTCCTAACTTTGTGACTCTTCTGCATTCTTCTAATATTTGGTATGTTTGTTTAAAGTA